CAGGAATGTGCTGCTCAGGAGCCGCAGTCATACAGGTGGCAGCTACACCTTGAGTCCCCAGCCCAGCTGGCCTGGTGCACACCAGGCACATGCATGAGTGCCCAGGAACCAATAAGTCTGAAGACTGGAGGACGGGAGGAAGGGGATCGTGGCACGCCAGACCTTATGGAGGGTGCTCACCCCTAGCTCTTACACATCTGTGTGCACATGCGTGTGCTCTGTCATGAATAAAGAAAAGAAGTCTTTTGAATATATAAGAAATATTTGTCAGCATATGTTCATTCTTCACTATTAAATACCGATTAACAAAGGCCTACTACCATTTTTAACCAATTATAGCAGGAAACATTAAAAAGATTTCTTTTTTTTAAGAAAGATTTTTTGCAATAGGGCTTATGTGTGCACCAGAGACATGGAGAGAACAAGTGAGAAATCACCACTCAAAGGAGATGGCCACATCACAATCCCTTCTCCTCCTTTCTCCTCTTGGGATTTTGGGCATGCATGTAACATGTGCCCAGTGTGAGTTTCAAGCTTCCTGGTTCGGGACTCAAACCACAGTCAGCCATGTGGGAGTCCTGTGCCTTAACACCACCACCTGCTGGCCCCATTAATAAGATTGTTAAATGCTACCAAAGATGTGACAAAATAGGTTTTTGTCTATGACTAGTGGAAATGTAAATTCATACATCCTATTTCTGCAAAATATCTGCTTACTGAAATTAAATACTAAACATACCACTTGATCTAGCAATTCTACTTTTGTGAATACGCTACGGATAAATAAAAGAACTAGAATGTAAGACTCTCTCTCTCTCTATATATATATATATATTTTTTTTTTTTTGGCTATATGGTGTATGAATTAGCTGGAAAGAGAGCAAAAGAGAGGAAATAACCCCCCCCACCCCAGGGAGAATGGCCATGCCACAGTCCCCTCTCCTCCATTCTCCTCTTGGGATTGTGGGTAATCATGTATTCACGTTCAGTGTGTTTTTCATGCTACCAGGTCTGGAACTCAAACTGTGCGGTCATTCATTTGGGTTCTAGCTGACTTAACCAGCATGGTACTGGCTGGCTCAAGACTGTAGATTTTAAAATATTTATTGCCACTTTATTTGTAGTGGCAAAAGTCTGATAGACAACTTATATGTATACCAATGAAGGAATGTTTGAGTAAACTATGACATATCTACATTTTATAGAGGAGTAACACTCATTAAATATTAGTTTGGGAATTGGAAGCTCAGAATTAAATTCTCACATATATAGTTAAATGATTTTTTTAAGAATTATTTTATTTAACTTTATTTATTTATTTTAATTTGAAGAGAGAGGGACAGAGAGAGAAAGAGAGAGAGAGAGAGAGAGAGAGCGAGAGAGAGAGAGAGAGAGCACACGCAAGCAAGCTGCCAGGTCCGGGACTCGAACTGCAGTTGGCCATGTGGGAGTCCAGTGCTCTTAACCACCACACCACCTGCTGGCCCCTGGTTAAATGTTTTTTAACAAGGATTTCAAGATCATTAAATGTGTAAAAAAATATTTTTCTAAACCTGTTGCTGGGAAAGCTAGATACCCACATGCAACAGAATACAGATGGAACCTTATCTTACACCATAGATAGAAATAAACCCAAATGAGGGGGCCAGCAGGTGGTGTGGTGGTTAATGCACTGGACACTCCCATATGGCTGACCATGGCTCAAGTCCCAGACCTGGTGGCTTGCTTTCTCTCTCTCTCTCTCGCTGGTGAAATTAAAAATAAATGAATGAATAAAGTGAAATAAATAATTACTTTAAAAAAAGAAATAAACCCAAATGAATGAAAGACCTAAACACAAGAGCTAAAACGATAAAACTCAGAATAATACATAGAAAAAAAGCTTCATGACACTGGATTTAGCAATGATTTCTTAGATATGAAACCAAAAACATAGGCAACAAAAGAAAAATAGATACATTTGACTTCATCAAAATTAAACATTTCTTTCTTTCTTTTTAAAAATTTTTTAAGAGAGATTTTTGCTATAGGGTGTGTGTGTTTGACAGAGAGAGACAGAGAAACAGAAAGTGAGAAATCACCCCCAACCCAGGGGGAATGGCCACACTACAATCCCTTCTCTTCCGTTTTCCTCTCAGGATTTTGAGAACGCATGTACATGCACCCAGCATGAGTTTTAAGCCACCTGGTCCGGGACTGGAACCATGGTCACCTATGTGGGAGTCCAGCAATGTAACCATTATGTCATCTGCTTGTTTCCAAAATTAAACATTTTTATGCATCAAGAACAACGAAGTGAAAAGGCAACCCCGAGAATGGACTGCAAATCATACACTGGATAAAGGATGAATATCTAGAACATATAAATAATGCCTAAAACTGAACAATAAAAACCATATAACCCATTTAAAAAAAGACAATTTGAGTAGAAATTTCCCAAAATATGAGATAAATATATATATATATAAATATATATTAATGTATACATATATAATATTATAATATAATATGTGTATATATACACACATGCACACAAGCACAAACACACATAATGACCAATAAACACACAGAAAGATGATCAACACTGAGTCAGCCCTGCATGGTAGTTACGGAGACTGTATCCTGCATGGCCAATGGTGCAGTTCAAGTGTTGGACTTGGCAGTCTGAGGAACATGCTGGGTGTATGTGATGTGTGTGTGTGCCCAAAATCACGACAGGAGGGATAAATGGAGAAGGGGTTGCAGTGTGGTCATTTCCTATGGGGAGTGCTTTCTCACTTTCTCCCCCTTCATAAGTGCATGCAACCCTCTGGCAAATTAAAAAAATAGAAGATACTCCACGTCATTAAGCATTAAGGGGAATAGAAATCAAAACCACAGAGATATCATTTCACAATGATTAGGATGGTTATTATGAAACAAAAGCAAGTATTGGTGAGAATATGGAAAAGCTGGGACTCTTGTACATTGCTGAGGGGAATATAAAATGGTACAACCACTATGGAAAAACATGGTTTTTCCCTTAAAAAATTAAACAGAATTACCATACACTTCAGCATTTCCACTTCTGGGTATATACCCCAAAGAACTAAAGGCATGGACTTTAACAGGAATTTGTGAACTAATGTTCACAGCTACAATAATTTACAAAAGCCACAAGGTTGAAGCAACCCAAGTGTCTGAGAGATGAATTAGTGGATAAATAAAACATGGTCTGTATGTATAATAGAATGTTATTCAGCCTTAAAAAGGGAGGAAATTCTGACATGCTACATTATGGATGAACTTTAAGGACATTATGCTAAATGAAAGAGGCCAGTTACAAAAAGATAATTATTGGGACCAGCTGTTAGCGTAATGACTATGTCGCTGGACTCCCATGTAGTCGACTGTGATTCGTGTCCTGGACCCGGTGGCTTAAAACTCACACCGGGAGCGTGTGCGTGCGTGCTCAATATCCCGAGAGGAGAATGGAGGAGAAGGGATTGTGGTGTGGCCATCTCCCCTGGGGGGTGATTTCTTGCTTTCTATCTCTCTCTGTCTGGCGAGCACACGCACCCTATAGCAAAAACCTCTCAAAAAAAAAAAAAAGATAATCATTATATGATTCCACTCACATGCCAAGAACAGTCAAATTTATAGAAAACAATTTAAATGGTGATTGTCAGGGAGTGGGGAGTCTAATGGGTACAGAATTTTATTGCTGAAAGATGAAGAGTTCTGGAGATGAGTGGTGGGGATGCTTCTACAACGATGTGGATGTACTTAATGCCACTGAGCTGGATACTTAAACAGGGTGTACACACACACCACACACACTACACACACACACACACACACACACTACACACATATACATGGCATAGTCCCTTTTGAAATGTAACACAAGGACATAACTTTAAGCCCAGTTTCAAGATATATTACTTGTAATTTTTTTAAAAAAAGAGTTATCTATTTAAATCCATTTGTTATTATTTTTTAATTTGTCCAGAAAGAGACAGAGAGAGAGAGAGAGAGAGAGGGAAAGTGAGAAAACAAGCCACCAGGTTCGGGACTTGAACCACAGTTGGTCATGTGGGAATCCAGCACCCTTAACGCCCATGCCACCTGCTGGCCTCCCAGGACTTGAACCATGATCGGCCATGTGGGAATCTAGTGCTTTTAACCACCATGCCACCTGCCGGCCCCCATTACTCACCATTTTTAAAAAGCATATATTAAAATGATATTGAACATAAAAGTGAGTTACAGTCATACCTAGATATATTAAATATATCTATGATATATTAAATATAAATAAACATATGAACACAGGTCTCTGACACGCAGGCAGAATAAAGAATGGAGAATAAAGGAAATGACTGACTTGTTTATACAGACCTCTGTACTGTGCTGGACTCTTTGGACAGATATTAAATGAAATAACTGCTCTCAGGAGCTCAGCGTCTGGAGTGAAGAGTTACTCAAAGAAAGGCTACATGCAAGCCCTGGGAATGCAGATGTGCCCCATCTTATAAATCATTCACTTGTGGCCAGTCAGTCGGGTCAGCGGCAAAACAGGCTCAGATCGTAATCGCTCACATCTCAGACTTATGACTACTGCTTTTCATAGGGCATTGTGTTACAAACGAGCAAAGGACGCTAGTCATCGGCATAAAACCAACTTTAAAAATATTTTTATATACTTAGGAAATACTACCTTCATATTCTAAGGACAGTTGTAGATGTTTTTTTAAAAAAAATGTATTACAAAATAAAACACTCATACTTTT